GACTTGTAGGTGTAGTCTGTGTGTGAATTACCTTCGATTTGGATGCGTTTTGTGCCTCAAAATGGGAAATGGTGGTGACTGTCATATCATTATTTCCCGCCCACATTTGAACTCCCGCCGTTTTCTCGATCCCCATGCCTCCGATCGTCAAATCACAGTCGTCACTGGACAGACATTTGCTGTCTTTGTGATTGGTTAAAATTATATTGCATTTAAGCTAATCACACATGAGTAACAACTAGATTCATGGGGTGTCATATCATTATTTCCACCACTTTAGTCGACAGCTGTGAGGGGGCTTCTGATAATATGTATCGATAATGAAAGCATTTTTCTCAGATTTTTACCTATTTTTATGCATAGAATGAAAAACGCGTTTATTAGATATGGAACTTTATTATGTAATACGGTGAAAAATGACTCATGTTGAAACTTTGCAACATCGCTTTAGCGAGAATATCAAATTGAAGATGTGTTTAAATGCTCACTTTGTAGCTTGGCCTGTGAGCTACAATGTTCATATTAACTGTTTATCGCTAGCATTTATGCAGCAATAATTATTCCCAAAGGCCCCCTCACAGCTGTCGACCACTGTCAGCAGTCTTTCACGGAGTATCGCTTCGCGCTCGTCGTTGGTCAAGTCCCGCCTTCCAGGTGCCATTTTGAGTGACATATGAGTTAATGTATGATCAGAGTGATGGTTTATACTTGAAAAATGTATTTAGACTTTCGGTCTGGAGTTGAAAATGTTACGTTAAGAAGTTTCAAGCGCTGCGTACATCATGTTAAAGCGCTTGGCGCGCTTGTCATTCTCGGCCAATCAGCGCTGTAGAATAAGAAGCGAGGCGCAATACGTAGGATTTTAAATTACGCTCTCAATTATAATGACGAGACATATCCCCCCTCCCCAAACTCGCTCCACAATTTTGGGACGGAGGGAGTATGATTTATGCTATTTTCAGATTCCTTAGGCACCGTGCCCACCTCACTGGTTAACCATTGCCCTGACCCAACCTACTCCCGTTATAGAGGAGTTTTTACAGTGTGAGGGTACTGAACGGACGCAGGCACACTTGGTCGTGACCAAACTTACGCCGATGATACCCGCAATGGGCACCAGAAGGAATATTGCTGAATGACACACACAGACCAGGTTGTCCAAGTATGTCCAAGTAACGTACAACGGGGTTTTGCGCATACTCACCAACGTTTGCACAAACGTTTGCACAAACGAGCTATATTGCACAAACGTTTGCACAAACGAGCTATATTGCAAAAACGAGTTACAATATGAGGTGTATACTATATATTCCACGTGTTCCAGAATTCCCTTAAATAGTACAACGCTTAAAATTGATATCTATAAAAACGAATATATATATTTCTAGTGGTTTTACCACGTAATTTTGATGCTGTACGTCCGCCATGACATCGCCGTTCAGTATCGACTCCCGTCCACGATACCACACGCGCAAAACAGTGTGTGCATGACAGTTGAACTGCTTTGCAGCGTCCACGAAGTCCCCACGACGCAGTGTGCCACTTGCGGATCTTTCGAGAAGGGTTTGTATCTCTATGCATGATGCAAGATAAGATAATTTTGTCTATTCGAGAACTATTACTTTGATGCCAAGTGGAAGCATACGTATAATGGGCACTCATGGGTTGTGTCAAACTCGAACTCTTCGAAAGAGCCATAATATTTTACGTGAGTTTCACTTCGCTGCGACATGTTTGACTTTCAAATTCTAACTCCACGAATCTTCGAAAGAGCTCTAATAGAGGATAAATCACGGATTTTGAAAATACAACTTTCATGAAGTGGCTCCTTAAACTGAACGAGATATGGGCAATTGAAGGGAGCTCAAGTTCGGCAGGTCATCGAGAGTTCACGAATTATTCGCATTATTGGGTCAAGCTGGCCTTGAGCTCGTCCTTGGTCATGCCCGTGATTTTGCCCACCTTGGGGTTCATCCCGGGGTTGTTGTAGTTGCACCAGACATTGTTGTCGCGGCCACATTCGGACCACCCGCACGCCATGGACTTGGCTTCGGGACTCATCATGTTGGTGAAGTGGCCGCACTTGGCCCAGTTCCCGTTGCACTTGTTGCTTTCGTAGTTCCATGACTTTTCTTCTTCGTCGTACCACATCCACGCTGCCCCCACCACCTTCATGCAGGCCGCGCCACTGCACGCTTTGTTGGTCGCCAAGTTTTGCGAGCCTTTGGGGCCGCCGTGCTTAAAGCCAGGGCAACTTTTGGCCCACTTCTGCATTTCGGGCTCCAGCTTATCGTCCCAAGTCAGCGGACTGATACCGTGGGCCGCGCGGATTTTGTTGGTTTGGGCCATCAATTGGTCCTTCACACCGTTGCCAGACGAAGGTGGGGAATTTGGCTTTGGGGTGTCGTTCGAGGGCTTAGGTTCAGACGGGGAAGACGGTGGTTCATTGGGGGGGAATGGTGGTTTATTCGGTGGTTTATTGGGGGAGGACGGTGGTTCATTGGGGGAGGACGGTGGTCTATTGGGGGAGGACGGTGGTTTATTGGGGAAGGACGGTGGTTTATTGGGGGAGGACGGTGGTTTATTGGGGGAGGACGGTGGCTTATTGGAGGAGGACGGTCGTTCATTGGGGGAGGACGGTCGTTCATTGGGGGAGAACGGTGGTTCATTGGGGGGGAACGGTGGATTATTGGGGGAGGACGGTGGTTTATTGGGGGTGGATGGTGGTTCATTGGGGGAGAACGGTGCTTCATTGGGCGAGAATGGTGGTTGATTGGGGGAGAACGGTGGATTATTGGGGGAGGACGGTGGTTTATTGGGGGTGGATGGTGGTTCATTGGGGGAGAACGGTGCTTCATTGGGGGAGAATGGTGGTTGATTCGGGGAGAACGGTGCTTCATTGATGGCGAATGGTGGTTGATTGGGGGAGAACGGTGCTTGATTGGGGGCGAACGGTGGTTGATTGGGGGAGAACGGTGGTTGATTGGGGGAGAACGGTCTTTGATTGGGATGGTTGGACCAAGGACTCGACGGGTCAAACGAAAAAGGGGACAACGGTAGTTGATTGGGATGACTAGACCAAGGACTCATCGACTTCGAGTCAAACGAAGAAGGGAAGAGTCTGTGAGTGGGATAAGTGGGTTTGCTGGACGAAGGAGGCGATATCATAGGGGTGCCAGTTGAGGGCTTGGGGGGGAACGAAGAAGGGAACGGTTTGTGAGTGGGATAAGTGGGTTTACTGGACGAAGGAGGAGATATCATAGGGGTATACCGTGAGAGGGCGAATGAAGTAGCGAATTGTCTGTGAGTGGATTGCGTGGATTTTCTAGACGAAGGATTCGTAGGGGCGCCAGTTGAGGGCTTGGAGGCGGACGAAGGAGGTTTGCGGGTTGACTGAGTAGGCTGCTGGCTGGACGAAGGGGTGGGGTTAGATGAAGGAGTCAGTGACGATCCGATCAATTCAGGATATGAGATCGTCTCGGCCATATTGCACACTCCCTTGCCACTCAGCCCTCGCTTCAAGTATATGTACCCTTTGTCGCCCCATTGCGACCCCCACGAGTTTTTGATTTTGAAGTAATTGTCCG